GAACGAATTCTGAATAGCATTGGAGTCAGGCTCTCTTTTCCTCCTTTTCCCCCTCCCTCCCCTTGGAAAAGTGTATCTTAGCACCGCATATTCCCTTGATACCTTCTTATCACCATTCACTTTTTATTTTTGATATTATTTTCACTATTATTATCGTTTTATTTTCTTTTTATTTCATTTAGCTCTAAAATGCTTTCACTCCTACGTGAAACAATCCAAGTAAAACAAATAAGAAAACAATGGAATTTTTGTCTACTACTATGTATTATTGAGGGAGCGTTGCGTGACAACACTATAAACGGCTGTTGATGACGTTTGGAATATTTTACTTCAGACGGGCGTATTTGTATCTCTTGTACTAATAAAGATTATACTAAATTCGTATCGCGCGCTTGTCTTATGGTGCTTTATCGTTCGGGTTTCTTTTAGCTCTAATACTTAGCTTGTTAATACAAATCGAATTCCGAAGAATTCCTTTTAAAAAACGTTCTTGTTTTAACGAGGGTAACCTGTGGCCCTCGTTCCATAATCGAATTGGATTTTATGGGGGAAACCGGAGAAACCCTTGAAGCACAGGATATAACCAACTGGAAACTCTTCTCACATATAACACCGAGTCCGAGTGCAGACATTGTCACGTTCGTTCGAAATGCTATAACAAAAGTGTGTTTTCTGTCTATTTTCCTCTTATTTCAGTTGGTAGAGCAACAGACTTCGTGATGAATATTTTGTTTACGCCGTTATGAGAAAAGCTGTGCCAAAATAATCTTGTATTTTCGATGTTTGGTTTTAGATTTATTACCAGTCAGACTCTGTAACGCAATCATTGCCACGCATTCTCAAAGCATTAGAAATATTACAATTTGATTGAAATAATACGTTTTCATTTTAGTAAATGATTGTTAACTTTATTTCGATGATGATGATGATTAAAATATTGAAGTGGGTGCAATAAAAACATGATTTTCAACTTTCGTGATTTGGTCGCCATCTTTGTGCTCCTCAAGATCTAAGAACACATGGCGGCCCCGGATCCCCGGAATGCACTTCAAAAAAAAAAAAAGGGTATAATCAGTCGCTCGTATCTCCGCATCTAAAACTTCTTTTAGCTAGAATTTTGGCTGAGACATACAGTTTTAGTTGCTCTTTCAGTCTGTGGAGGTTGTGTCGTATATAAGTATTTGGAAGTGGTTTTCGATGACGTAGGTTTGAGCAAGTAATGATGAAAAGGTAAAATATCTCAGCCACTAATGTAATATATGACGTAATGTTATATGATCCCAATGTTATCATTATATAATCATAGACACTACTTATTGTACTTGAGTAGTTATAACAGGGGCTTGAAATAAACATCTTGATTCTACACGATCTGAGCGACTACAACAACTAACACAAAATAATTATTCAAGACACGTATTATTTCTTGTTATACCAAATACTGCTATGCCTTCATGGTGTGGTCTATTTGATRTGGCACGAAAATAACACTTACCTTGATAACTACTGCTTCTTTATAAATGAACAGTTGCTTGCCGACGTGTCGTTGGTGCTAAGTTTTTGATACTGTACTAGTATCTTCACTTTCACATCCCCATAATCCTTTGCGCCATGGCGGCTAGTATTCAAAACGRTATGGTTTTTCGGCTTTTGGGTCTGGGGTAGGGTTTCAGTTTTTGACATTTGGTCTTGGATAGGGTATCATCTTTGTCTGGGATAGGGTTAACAATATGGTAGTTTTTGTCTGGCGAATAGGCTACGCTTTCTGCCGGCACAAAAACAATAAAAACGTTAWTAAATATTTTTTGAATAAATTGAATAGCCGTCATTTCGTCTGGGATAGGGCGTACAATTCTTAGTTTTAGTCTGGGGTAGGGTATGTAAAATCAAAATGTTTGAAGGCTACTTGTCAATCATATACAAAACGGAAGTAATCGTGCTGGTGTCTAGATACCAGTCTCTGCTCGAAAAAATCGGCGAACCATCCCGYTTGGGATTTGGCTAAACAATCGAGAATTGTMGTGTTCTGGCAACCCCGTGTGATTTATGACTGCACACAGCACACTTGCGCGTTTTCTATTTCTTCAATTACTTTCCTTTTATTTTCCACAATCACAAGCTAATAAAACTTTTAACAATACGATTACGTTCATTATTTGGGAATCACAAGCTAGTATTCAAAGTTCTATATTAGTGCTGATGGGGCAGCAACCCCCCTTTTAGTTTGGGATCTTGTTTGCAATGCATAGTTTTACTTTTTGTTTSTYCAAAATATCCCCAAGACTCAGGAAACAGCATTTCTGAATTCCCTTAGGAGACCTAGTTGGCGGCGAGATTCATCTAACATCAGATTTTACTGAYCCCCCTTTCTTGGATTCCTGGGACTGCCCCAGCAATGGAAATTAAACTATGAGGGATTTGATGCACTGGGTCTAGGAATTAGAATGGTCAGTAAGGGAGTTTTTCCAAACATTTTTCAAATTTCTTAAATTCTTCTAAGCTTTTTAAAATACACATCTACATGTCCACAATCAGTTTTGATAAATGTGTATCAGCCATTAACAAAATAAATGGTTCTAGTGCATTCTGTACATTCTATTTTCACCCCTAAAGCAGCCATGAAACGAGTACGCACGGAATGTTATCATGGCTTTCTGGATGTGATTCCTAGGTGAGAAGCATTATGAATGCCCCTGGGTCGGCAGTTGCCTATTTAAGCAAGAAAATCCAAGGTTTCAATCTCATTTGCTCAGGTTTGCAGTACCAGTCAGTGCTAGATATATTTTTGACCCCACCCACCCCCCCCCCCCTTCAGTCTGGTAGCTTAATCACAGCCTACATTCTGTTTAACTCAATAAATTCTGATAATCTTTGCCAAGATTCTCCCAGCTGAAACGACTGACATCAACCTGAAATGGAAAACATTTTATGGATGGTGTCATAGTAAGCAGGTGATGGTGGTGGATGTGTGTGGGAGGGAGGGGTTGGTGGGGGTAATTTAATATAATTACCTAATGTGAGTAGACCAGCTTTGACTCCCAAGGGGGGGGGGGGGTGCTCCGCCAGAATTTGGGTAGGGGTGTTCCTCTGGGATTCTGAAAGGGGTACCCTGTTTATGACAAAAGAAAATCAAATTTGTAGGCCCTGTTTATGACAAAAGATATAATTAATTGCACTGAGTTCCTGTTTCAATTATCATGTCATCTTGCGTATCATTTTTTTACGACCATGGTAACCAGTTTCCGTCAATACGAAAGTAGAAATCCTGAAATATGACAAAAAACTCAGGAAGAATTTGGACCTTGAGTGAAATTGCATACCCTGTTTATGACAAGAAGCTTGAAAAACCATACCCTGTTCAGCGGATCATCCCCGTATAGTTCATATATGGGAGTACCCTCCCCCCCCCCTCAGGCTTTGACTTTTCTCAACATTTAATATAGTTTCAATATTAGAATGCTGATTGAGATAAGGAGAGAGAGATGATGGGACCAATGCTGAAGGGGCTTCTGACTCATAGACCATGAGGGAGAGGTCTAATTGTTTTAGTATAAACCTACTAACCAGTCAAATGAATGGATACAAACAATTTTGAAATTAAGTTTGAATATTTTTTTTGGAGGTCGTTTTGATTTTCAAAACCAGCATCTTTTTGTTATGTAATATACTGCTAGTATGCTGTAGCTCAGCCAATCATAATGTAGGATTTATGATAGACTATTAGTATAGTTTTATGCTAATCGGCAATAGACTAATGATACCTTTCATACAGTTCTCTTGTACCTTACATACTCCTGTTTCAGTGATCAGTGTATAGAAGTGAGAATAGTGGATACTTCAAAGCAAGTTTCTTACAATTAGTGGTGATAACTAGTAGAGTACTAGCGTGGACTGC